GTGAATCTGGGACGAGCACTCCAGAAGACGAGCGAAGATTGCGAGCGATCCTGAAGTATCATCGAGCCATCTTCCTGGGAGATGGGAGTGCGGATCCATCCCCGGCGCGAGGTATCACCTGTGATTTGGATGTTGGAGAAGCGAACCCTGTTGCTTAACGTCCCCGATCTGTGGCACCGCACTTAGCGATCAAAGTGTATGAACTGCTGAAGAAACGTTTGGAAACCCGACTCATTGAGCATTCAGAATCACCATGGGCATCACCCATTGTGATTGTCCTCAAGCAAAATGGTGTGGATATCCGAATGTGTGTCGATTACCGAATTGTCAATGGATTCATTACACTGTCCAATTACCCTCTACCGCTAATAGACGACCTGCTGGTTGGGTTCGAGGATGTCATGTGGTTTATGAGCTTGGATATGGCGAGCGGCTTTTGGGCGATCAAGATGTCCGAAAGAGCGAAGCTGATATCGGCGTTTGTCTGTCCGTTCGGACACTTCCAATGGACTCGCATGCCATTCGGACTCAAGAATGCGCCACTGATATATCAATCGGTCATCAACAATTGTCTATGGGGATTTGTGAGACTGCCTCCAGAAGAAGAAGCAGAGGTCGATCAAGATGTCTTGGATTTTCTAGGTCTGGATCCTACAGATAACCAAAAATCTGAAAGGAGCTGTCTGAATGACGAGGTGAAGGGACTCACGGATCTGATGACAGTTTCCAAAGGAATATCCCTATGCCATCACACATCGGTCCAGTGCTAGGACGCAGCTCTTACATTGATGACATTGCTCATGGTGCGAAAACATGGGATCAACTTTGTGAGGATCTGGACACCTTGCTCTATCGCTTACGTTACTGGAATATATCGGTGAGTTTACCAAAGAGCGAGTTTGGGAAACGATCGATCCCCTATCTGTCATATGAGATTAGTGCAGAAGGTATCGGAGCGACCCAAAAAGTTGCAAAGGGTGTTATGGACCTACCGTTCCCTAAATCTCACAAAGGAGTGCTATCGTTTCTTGGAAGTCTGAACTACTACCATAAGTTCATTGAAGACTTTCCGGTAGTGGCAGCAGTCCTTTATGAACTCTCCGAAGGTCACATACGTCAGGGACGAGATCTCTCGCGAGCTTATGAATCATTCGAACTGCTTAAAAGGAAAATCGTTGCGACGCCAATGTTGTGACATCCTCCAAAAGCCGTTTGTGATCATTCCACACGCGAACCGTTGGGCTGCTTGTGCAGTCGTAGGACAAGAATACGACGGAAGATACAACCTGTTCGGTACACCGGACGCGTTTTGAATGATGCTGAACTCCGGTATCACATTACTGAGAAGGAAGTTATTGCTGTCCTGCGCGCTACAAGTCTTTCAGACTATTCTAAAAGGCCGACGACTAATCATCTACACCAGACATTCTGTCCTGAAATGGGTGTTACGGTCCAAGTCGGCAGACGGGGTGTACGTTCCGTGGGGAGTCACACTCTCACATTGGGATATCGAAATCCGGAAAGTCCAAAAGGATGAAGACGGACTTGTAGCCATCGTCGGAGCAGGGGTCACACCACGGGAACATTTGGATAAAGCCTTTGAAACATTGATCCCCCTGAAGGGACATGTTCGAAAGCCCCCAGTAGTGAGCGTGGAGATGTTGGGAAGTGATTTCCAAGGAGTCGTGCTGAGTTTCGACGGTGCCGCAAAACTCTCCACCAAGAAGGGGAGTTGTGGTTGTGTACTATGGCAGCTACCCGGTTGGAAGGTTCTGAAAGCAAAAGGTTTCCTGTTGGAGAACGTCACGGTGAACGATGCCGAATACCATGGACTTCTCAAAGGACTCGAGATGGCCATCGAAATGAAGTTGCAAGATTTGGTCGCAGTCGAAGATTCTCGAATTGTTATTCAACAGGTTCAAGGACTAATCCACTGTAATCAACCACATCTCCAAACGCACCTTGCCAAAGTTGAGTTACTGAAAGCGAAGTTCGGACTATTACGTCTGGTCCATCTGAAGCAGGAATACAATCAGGCTGCTGATTATTTGACCACGAAAACTTTGATTCTGGATGAGTCATGGGACGTTACGGACACAGCCGAGAT